TGTTTGATTCCAATATAAATTTGCAATTATTCGAACATCTATGCCGTCCAAGCCAATGTCTTTTAGAGCTTTGATCAATATAGAGTGCTTAACGCGATCAAATTCCTTTTGGAAGTCAATAAAACAACAGTATATGTCTACAGATTTATCTCGACATCTTTGAGCAATTTCGTTCATTCCAAACTCCATCTACGGTGATGAATATTGAAGTCGCCTGCAATTAAAACTCTGCCTTTAATTTGGCGAAATAAATTTTCCCAATCATTGGATAGGACATATATTTTAGGAGGTTTGTAAACACATAGTATTGATAATGTTACTAGAAAAACACCGCAAACCTCTATATTTGGATTTTAATTTGTTTTGAATTTTTTATCTGAAAAGGAAATATTGTTTGCAACTAAAACAGCAACGCCTCCATAGCCGTGCCGTCGATCAAACATTATAAAACCTTTCTTCTTCTTCTTCTTCTTCTAGTGCCGTCTCCACTAATGAAGGTTGGCTATAAACACTGCAAATTCATCCCTATCTTCTGCTTTTCTTAAGAGCGTCTGTGTGTTACCGGTCCAGTCGCGAATGCTTTTCTGCCAGGATATTTGTCGTCTACCAAGACCCCTTTTTCCTTCGATTTTACCCTTCATAATCAGCTGCAACAACTCGTACTTATCATTTCTAAGTATGTGCTCCAAATATCCTGTCTTTCCTCTTTTAATGGTGGTCAAAAGTTCTCTGTCCCTTCCCATTCTGTGCAACACCATTTCGTTCGTAATATGATCTCCTAAAAAGCCACATCTCGTATCGTCGTACGTCCATGGTATCTTCAAAATTCTCCTAAAAAGCCACATCTCAAAAGCTTCCAGTTTTCTCATTAAGTCAACATTAACAATCCGGGCTTCGACACCATGAAGAAGAAATAGAGTGGATATAACATTTTACCATCCGATATTGGATTTGCAGATTGAGTCTTTGGTTACTCAGAAATTTCCTCATCTTCAAAAAGGCTGCTCTTGATTGCTATAGTGTTGAGTGAATTTCTGATTTCGGATTCAGATCTTCCGTAATCCAGACTCCCTAAGTATTTCACTTTGTCCACTTGCTCAATATCTTCATTTTTTATCTGGATCCTTGTAATGACTTGCCCCTCTTACTGGTAACCATGGTTTTTGTTTTCTTTATGTTTATTGTTAAACGAAAATTGTTCCCCAGTATCACAAATTGTGTTTAGTATAAAACCTTTAATATACATAATTAATATACATGTATAAATTTTTATCTTGTAACAACCAAGTTTCGTTAAGAAGTTTTAATTCCCGTTACATTATTTTAACACAAGAAATGAAATCATGCAAAAAAATCGCAATTGTTTATCGCAAAAATTTTATTTCACGTTTATTCCGGTACGTCACAACTCAATTTGAATTAACAATTACCGATAATTTTTCTTATCGGCAATTTTAATTTTACTTCCTGATTTCGTAGTATTTTTTATTTACATATTTCTAGTATACAAGACCATTGTTATTTAAATTTATCGAAAATATTTACACTTTTATTAGCGAAATCTTTTCTGCGTAAACATCGATTGTGATTATAAAAATGAAGAGGTAGTTGTTGATTTGTTTTTTTTTATGAATAAATAAAATTATTGCGGAGTTAATGATCCTTTTATTTTCAAGTTGCTTTTTGTAGTGGAAGATAAAGGAATGGGATATCATCATCAGTAGCTCGGCAACCCTTTCTGCGCCCTGGCTTGTTATAGGATTTCCGCCATTCTGTTCTGTTCCTTACTTTGTTTTTCCAGTTGGTAATCTTAAGTGTTTTCAAATCTTGTTCTACTTGTTCCATGTATCTAAGTTTGGGTCTTCCCTTTGACCTTCTCCCTACTGGTGCTTGCCTCATTATATGTTTTGGTGTTTCAGTCTAGAATATTCGTTCAACATGACCCATCCAGCGCAGACGTCCGATCTTTATGGATGTTATGATCTCAGGTTCATTGTATGCTGTGTATAGTTCAAAGTTATATCTTCTGCGCCATATGTCATTTTCCTTTACCCCCTAACATTTTTCACGCGTTCGATGTTATAGTCTCCTATTATCTGAAAGTTTCTTGGCCTGTCGATTTACTGGCCTTCACGTATTTGGTTTTTATTTCGTTAATGTGCAGGCCACTATTTTGTGCCGTTCTTTCTATCGTATTAAATGCTTCTATCATCTCTCTTTTGCTTCTAGCTATAATATCAACATCATCTGCAAATGCCAATATTTATACACTTTTTGTTATTATTGTTCCTCTGGTGTTGACTTTTGACTCCCTAATTATTTTCTCTAATGTGATCTTGAATAGAATACAGGATAGGGCATCTCCCTGTCGTAGGCCCGTTCTCACATGGATTGAATCTGTTAGTTCGTTTTGAATTCGAATTTTGCTTTGTACTTTAGGTGTTTCTTTTACTATATCAATTAGTTGAGTTGGAATATTAAAATCTTTCAGTGCATGTATCAGAAATCCTCGATGGATGCTATCATAGACACTCTAAAAGTCAATGAAAAGATTATGTGTGTCTATATTAAACTCACTAGTCTTTTCCAAGATTTGCATCAAGACGAAGATCTGATCTATTGTGGACTTCTGCCTGTGAAAACTACATTGATATCCCCCAACTATCATCGGTCGTACACAATATTTTTGACAGTACTTTATATCCCACAGTCAGTAGCGTTATTGCCCGGTAGTTTTTACATTGAAGCTGATCTCCCTTTTTATGTAGTGGGAATTACGTATTCCAGTCTTGTGGCAATTGTTTACTATTCCATATGTTCACTATTAGCTCGTGTGTCGCATTCAATAGGAATTATTACTATTTATAATGGGAATAGCCACAATTAAAGATAAAAATACGTTTATTGACGTTTCAATTCCAATTCGAAATCGATTTCCGAATTGGAAATTGAAACGTCATAAACGTATTTTTATCTTTAATGTGGCTATTCCCAGTATAAATAGTAATAATTTACAATGCCACAGAAAATGCTTCAGAACATATTCAATAGGAGTCCCACTTTCTTTATTAATTCTGCGCTAATGTTGTCTAATCCAGTGACATGTTGTTTTTCAGTCTGGTAACTGCTTCTTGCATTTCAGCTACTCAAGGGGGGTTGTTTCTCTGGTATCTGTTTGATCTAGTATAATTCTATCGTATAGTGGATCTTGGTTTTTTTCAAACTTTTCTTTAAAGAATTCTGTCCATCTTTGTAGTATTTCACTCTGTTGAGTTACTATATCTCCTTCTTTGTCTCTACACATCATTGTTCTTTAAACTCTTTTCTGCTTTTGTTAAGTTTTTGGTAGAGTTTTCTGATTTTTGATGGTTTATTTAGTTCTTCCATTTCTTGGAGTTCTTTTTCTATGTGTCCTCTTTTCTTTCTGCGATGTATTTTCTTTTCTTGCCTCCTTAGCATTCTATATTCCTCCTCTGCCTTTCGTGTTCTATGTCGTTATTGTAGTCGTTGATATGCATTATTTTTCCTCCCTGTTAGGTTACGACACTCTTCATCAAACCACTGTCCTTCAGTTGATTTGGGCTTTTTTTTGTAGACCCAGGGTCTCTTTGGCCGCATCTTGTATGGTGTTTTTAAACGCTTCCCATTCTCTGGTTATATCTTCGTGCTTTTGTCTGTTTTCTAGCATTCCTTTTATATATTCTTTGTATTTTGTGTTTTTGCTGTTGTCTACTAAGTTTTTATTTCATATTTTTCAACTTTGGGTCCCTTTTCTTTTTTAATATTTGAGATTCTGGCTCTTACTAATACTTACCACTTTCTACTAGGTAATGATCCGAGTCTTGATTTGCCCCTCTTCTGCTGCATACGTTTATTACGTCTGAGTGATGTCTAGAGTCAATAATAACATGATCGATCATGTTTACTGTAACCCCATTTGGAGATCTCCACGTTCCCTTATGAATATTTTTTCGCTGGAAGCATGTGCTGGCAATGCCCATGTTAAGGGAAAGTTGCTAGATTTATTAGTCTGATGCCATTGTAATTAGATACCTCATGAAGGCTGTGCTTACCTATAGTTGGTAGGTATTGTTGCTGTTTTCCTATTTTTGCGTTGAGATCACCATAAATAATTTTGATGTCATTCTTTGGGCATGAATGGTATGCAGGCAGCTTCTAGTTTTTCATAGAATTTTTCTTTCACATCTTCCTTTTTCTCTGTAAGGGCATGCACATTTAAGATGCTATAATTAACAAATGTTCCCTTTAGTCTCAAAGGAATGGGATATGGGATATAAATTCAATATATAATCCAAATGAACAAACCTTAAGGATTTAAGCTAATTTTTTTTCTCTAAGCACTGGCACAGAATTGTTTATTTTACAATATCGTCTATTTGCTTGGGGTTTTCTCCTATTGACGTTTTCAGTGCTTATCTAATAACTCACTACTTTCATTGGTTCAAAAGTCTATAAATTAGACCAGGAAGCAACAGTTTTCCTAAGACACTCTTTGATACAGTTATCGAACAGTTGCTTTTTAAAAAGGGTACTCTCGTTAATATAGGCAAAATTACCTACTTCCAGAATTCAATTTTTTTTATTTCCATAGTTTCTATATGATTAAAAAATAAGGCTCAGCCCAATTTCTCGAATAACTGTTTTTTTAGGGGGTTTGGGAAATTTTCTCCAGTTTACAGACTTCAAAATAGATTAAATCGAGATTTTTGGTGAGGTTTTAGTATATTCAAAAATTCGGCGGCACATCTTTAAACCATCCAAAAAAACATGTTTTTTTCAGGTTTTTTAAGGGTTTTTACGGGGATAATCATATTTTTTGAGATCAATACAACCTAAACCAATTTTTAAATTTTTTTCTGTGTATTAATTTGAAAAATAAGACAGCGCAATTTTAAACCGTCACTTCCCCCTACACCAAAAACGTAATTTTTTCGTTTGTCATTTTTTTTTCAATAAACTATAATGAATTGGTGTTTCAGGAATGAATCTTCAGATCTGCTTCATGAACGAATCTCTCTCGGACACTGACAGTCCCAGTTCCGACTCAGAATGTCCAATGACGAACCCTAAACATCACAAATCGAATAACAACTTGAAATCCCCCACAAAGACGGAGAAGACCCAACAACCACCAGCGAGACCTGCGACGCTCTCGCTAAGTCAGCAGCCGCAGCAGTTGGTCAGGGAACCACTCCAAGAGCTGGATTTCTTCTCTCGGCAAGCCAGGCTGCAGACGGAGGCTAGAATGGCTTTGGCTCAAGCCAAGGAAATGGCACGAATGCAAATGGAGGTACTAGATTTTTTATTTTATGTAGCTATTTTGTGCAGACATAAAAATAGCGGATTAAGTCAACCTTGCAAAGGTTGAAAAGAAGGTAGACGCTGGATAACCCTTCCCTTTTCTGTTACAGATTGAAAAACAAAGACAGAAAAAGAGCCCGATAACCGAAATGATTCGAACCAGTATGGAAAAGGTGGGCATACCTTTTCCGGAGGACAAACGTCGATTATCCAGGCAGATTTTGACGGATATGAACGTGGCTCAGCTGCAGGTCATCGTAAATGATTTGCACACGCAGATAGAAAATTTGAACGACAGTTTAGTGAAATTTTTGATGGCGAGGGACGATCTACATATGGAGCAGGATTCTATGCTAGTGGATATTGAGGATTTGACGAGATATTTGTAAGTAATTTTTTTATGTATTATTTATGTCTGGTTGGTTTTTTGATTTGATTGACTACCTCTAAAAAAAGTATCTCAGCTGTTGATTGCTGTTTAAACAAAAAACAATCTTTTGAAAAAGAAATAAAATCTTTTATGGTTAGCTTTGTTATATTTTGTCTACAGATTTGCTTATATTTATTCCCCATTGTCTTTTTTATTTAATTACCTAAGATATATGAGTAAGAGTTTACAAAATATACTCACAAATAAAGTGTTATGACAATGTTCTTGGTTTATGAAATAACGAGTATGGATTAGGGAGATTGTTTTTTAATCAGGAAATGACCAATCAATATGACATTGGAACTAACATTTAATATTGATTATTCTTCTTAGGTTGCCTGTCCGTTCCGAACGTTGGCGATCATTCTGGCTATGATGACTTTGTTGGTTGCTATACGGAATAGCTGTGTTGAGGTCTTTCTATACCATGCTCTCAGGTTAGCAAGCCAGGATATTCTTCGTCCTGGAGCCCTTTTTCCTTCAATTTTTCATTATATGTTCCAAGTACTGCAGCTTACGGCCCGGAATCGGGGGATTGCTGATACCGGTAATAGCTCGGTGGAATTTTCGCCATATCTGGCTACACTCACTTAGTTTAGCCTGCAGACCAACGCAGTTGCCCGGGGTGTGGCACGTGGAACCATAAGTGAGAGTTAGTTGTCTTATGAGGACCAGTTATCAAGAACCATCGCTAGTCTATGACGCTCGATGTGGTCGTTCCGATAAAAGGTGCTACCTCCACAACACAACTCTACACCCCTAATTGGTTATGGTGAGACATAACTGGACCATAGACATATAATAAAAATAGATTGATTGCTGCAATATAGTCGCATTCCCCCAGTGCGACTGAGAAAACTGACGCAAAGCAGTCCCTGCATCTCTTTCTAGTGGACCGAGTTTATCGACCACGTGACCTTCTCATTGGTCATTTAAGTCACGTTATCGATAAACCTGGCAAATTACGCATTATGACCTATTACGCAAAGTCATAATGCTGCGTGTTAATATTGTATAATTGTATAATAGTAATATATTGGATGTGTATAAATTTACTTATATTTTAATGCCGATGTTAATAGTATTTATATTTTTAGGGGAGCCAAAGAACAAGTTTTGAAAGAACAAAACCTACCACCAACCAAAAACAACAACACGCCTCCATCGCCAGCTCCGTCATCGCCCCTGCAAGCACTCAACAGCAGCGTGAAACCACATCTACACAGGATAGCAAGTTTAGTAAAGAAATAACCGTTGTCTATGGTTCAAAATCCTTCCAAAAATGTGTAAATATTTTCAGAAAGGTATGTTCAGGGACAGAGTAAGACGGGTTGCGGATTTTTGGACAAGATGTGGGTTTTAGTTTGGTCAGATACTCACTGTTTAGCAAGGATGCTCAATCTGAATTTGGGTTGTCCATTTAATTGTTTGGTGATACTTGAAGGGAAATTATTGTTGGTATACTAACACCCACACTAAGAGGTTTTTGTTGAGGTCCCCAGACACAAATTATTGTCGTTTTCAAATGTTTTTATTTCTAGTTGAACAAAAACTAATAAATATTTGTTTTTGTACAACTATTAATCATAATAATAACAGAATTTGTATTTATCGTCACATTATTGCTTGATATATATTGGGCCACACTGAGATGCACAATATACCGTGCTATATATTGGGTTGCCTACCGATCAGTAGATCCCTAAAACAGTTGATCAAAATTTACATTTTTAAGCTTATTTTTGTGTTAAATAGACACAATAAAGAAATTTAGTGACTTAACTAGCAGTTTGAGTGGGCAATAAAGTTATAATAATAATATGGCTAACTAGTATTCCAAGTGACAAAAACCTCTTATCCAAAAAAGCAATTTTCAAATATGAAATCAACACCTAATGTTTTATATTAAGTGTGTGATTCGACGGTGTACACAAAACCATAGAGAGGTAGTCGGATAACAATGTGTAGAAAGAAATTTATGATGACTGTTGAGTGCCATCGGTTTCAAAATGAAGTTAGGCAGTTTTTAATGTAATTGTCATAGTTGTTAAATAAATACTTTTGTAGGTTGAGTAGTCACTATTTAATTTATTCATTGAAACAAACACAATACGATTACATAGGTTTTGGTATTTATGAGTATACTCACAGAAAATGAAGTGTACACATATTTTTGAAGTAGGCTAGAAAACAGTGACAAATTTAATATTTGACAGAGACAAAACAATGACAGTTGATAGGTAGCCCAGTTCGGATATAGTTTTGTACGTTTTTCAATTTCTTATGAGATATCAAGATATATCACATTTATGGAAAAAAAATTTTTAATAATGTTTTTATGTTCGAAAAAGTAAAAATGACGTTAAAATATATAAAAATGTAAAAACATTCTTATAAAAGGCCAATACTACATACATGTATTTAGGGTTGAGTTTACCGAAAGTACAAGCTGAATATAGCTGCAAATGTCAAAAATATTTGGGTTTGGCAGTGTTGGGATGTTTTTATAATGCATATGTTGTATGCTTCAAATATAAAAAAGAGAAAGCTTTTAAAAAGTACATTTTGATTATACTATTTTATGAATTCTGCAATTTTTAATTTATATGAAGCAATAACGAGTAATTATTTGTCTCTTTCGAGATTAATTGCAAACATCCGTTGCAATCTGGCAATTGCTGATTTAACGATTGCCAAATCTATCCCCTAATTTATCGAAAGGGTAATTGCCAAAATAATTTCTGATAATTAACCGCAATTAATCTCCAAAGAAACAAATATTTACTTATTATTGTTTTATATAAATCAAAAATTGCAGAATTTATAACATAATATAAACAAAATGTACTTTTCTAAATTCTAAAGCTTTATCTTTTTATATTTGAAGCATACATCAGCTACATTATAAAACAACCGAAATTTTTTGTTCCATGTTTGACATTTGCGGCTATAATCAGCTTGTACTTTCGGTAAACTCAACCGCATTTAGATAAATTGTAATTTTCTCTGGGTAATTTTTTAACTGATGCTATTCTTGCTGGTCCAAATTCTTATCACATTTGACTTTATATGAATTTGTGATGTCTCTGATCAAATGTTTTTCTAAAAACTCAGAAAATCGTGCCCTTATCAGGGTTTTCTTTTGACAAGTTAAAAACTTTGTTAAAAATGTTTTACCGGTTGACGTATTTACATAAAAAATGATGTATATTAGAGGAACTATATGTATCGTATTGTGTAATAAGTATAGTTCGTTATGAATTCTTATGGATACATAGGTGATATTAATTTTAGTCGGTAGTTTATTTATTTTTTGTACTTTCACATATCAAATTGATATTTTAATTGATTAGTTCATAGATCAAATTGAAGTTACTACTATATCTGTACATATAATCATCCATTTTACAACTATGTAATTTTTAAACAAACTCTGGAGGCAGGAAATTATCAGCCTAGCACATTAAGTTTCAAACGTTCAAACAATAAAAGAGTATCTTGAAAAAATATTAATAAATGGCTAGGTCATAAAAAAATTTAATAAAATTATTGTATAATCTGTTACCAGGACTTTCATATGTCATTTAGTTACATCAAACACATCACAGTTGACTGTTCAATGTATTTTATTAGTTTTAAGAAGTGGATAACTTGATTTAACAATGAGCAATGGTAAGTGTATGTAATCTTTCAGTGTGTACTCGCCATATACTGCACTTCTTTATTTGTCACAAGAACTTCATCTGTCATTTATCTATACTAGATAAATGACAGCTTACTGCCTTGTGTATTTAACCAGATTTGAAACTTACATAGTTGACTTAGTAAAAATATAGATATAATAATTGTTTCTTTAAACATTATAAAAAAACTATCTAAAAAACATCATGCAAAAGTTTAATTCTTCGCGCTTTTCATGAATATATCTAGTAACCGTAAGATGTTAGACAATATCAAGTTTTGCATGAATCAGTTGTGTTTTTCATTGTAAACATTGGGTCAAAGTGGGTGTTTAAACAGATTAAATAACTTTAATATAACAAGGAACCTATGATGATTTATCAGGTTTTGGTTAACTGTTGTATAACAATTGGCAGGTGACAGATGATGTATGTTCTAGTGTCTATGATAATGAATTAAAAACAATGTGGTGACTGTCTTGTTTTTAATAACTTTTTAACTAGCGTGTTGAATGAAAAATTCAATGGGTCAAGGTGATTGGATTCCATCAAATTTAAATCACCCTTTGTTAGGACACTTAGCGGATAGTAGATGAATGATGCGTGCAGTATGTTAGCGACAGATGACAAATGACACTCCAATCAACTAATAATCTAATGAGTTGGTTTCTAATTTCTTTTAACTGTCTAAAACTGATGTTTTTACTTCTCTATGAAAGTTTGTTGTGTTCAGAAGCCAAGATTTATATTGAATTGTGAATGATGACAGATGATAGAAAAATTTTGATAAATACGGAATGAAGTGTGTTAAATGACAAGTGACATGACTAGAATAAATGAACAAAAATCTGGTCTTTTTCTGTTTTTATTTTTAACGATCTTTGGATATATATACTCAGTTTTATTCTAATTACCATTTTGATCCATTGTCCAATTATTTCCACTAATCACTCCACTAAATTCTGTAATATACAATGACTGATGCTTTAATTGTAAATACAAACAAAAAATACTTAAATAGAGTAGGTTTTATGTAACCTCTTTACGATGTATTGTTAGCTTGAGATGAAGTGACGTTTTTTCGAAAAAACTAGTTCTTCATACTTAAATATATATTTTTTTCATCGATCATACCTAAATGCTATATTCTTGCCATGCGAATTTAGAGATAGATTTGTTATTTCAGGTCAAAGTTAAAGGACGCAGTGTTAAAATTATTTTGTACAACGTTACATGTCATTTAAATGTGATGCTAGGAAATATGAAGAATGTATTTGTGACTGGAGTAAACTGTGGAAGTAGTAATAGTCACCACATTTAATCTAGTTACACAGAAATTTGTATGGAAATACAAATGTGAATTCATGAAAACTGTTGAAACATTTACAACCAATGACGTATAATATATAGACTACGCAGTCCCCTATTCTCGCTATAGAATCGAGTGTCAAGATCTCGGCTCAAGGTTGAAGGTATGTTTATCACAACAGCGGCGTGTTCATTTATATTTTAATGACAATAATTATTTTTTTAATTAAAATTAAATATTTATGATTTCTTTTTGTTCCCATCTATAAGAGAAATAATTATTTTGATAAAATAGTATGGCATTTTACTAAAATAGTAAGTAAATAACTCTCAACAATTTAAAATAAAATTTGCTTGTCACACAAAATGGAGAAAATGTTTTCATACGTCCATGATGTTTTCAAACACAAGATCAACTTCGTGATGCTTCGTAAGAAATCATGAACTTCGTGTATCTTCGTATCAAAACAATAAACAATAACAAAGGTATTCATGTTTTGGACACTTTTTAAAGCGTTCACCGAGTCTATATATTATACGTCATTGTTTACAACAGAGATTGGTATCAAAGGTCAAGTCTGAATTTTAGGTGGAGACTCAGCTGAAGTCACTAGCCTCTCCCCTTAAACGACAGACAGCATGTCACAGCTGACATGACACTGTTTTTATGTATCTGTGACACGCTGTCTCGTTTTAGAGAAGAGGCTGGTCACATCAGCGATCCATCCACTAACAATTCATATTTGACTTTGACTGTATATCTACTGTCCAAATATTTCTCATGTTTTTTAATATATACCAAAAAAATGATTATGTTGGCACCAATGTCAAAACGAGGGAAATAATGTGGACAAGATAGTTGTTCCGTAACCAACTTATGATACCTTCATTTTCAAATCAGAAAGATGTAATTCTTGTTGAAATAAAAAGTTCATGGACATAGAATAAGAGCATATTCCCATTTAAATGACATTTAACCAAAGAAAAGTTAAGGAAATGCCCTGTCAGCTCATAATCGATCATTTTTTCATGAAAATATTTAATAAGAAAGTGTTTATGTTCATTCAGCACATTCTGACTATTGATGGTGATAGCAGGGATACAAATAATTAACATTAATGTCAGTGCTTAATGTTAAAGGTAGCAAAAATGAGCAGAACCCATTCACACTATTCTTATGGAGAAATTCACATGGGAAAATGATGATTTATAGTTCTTATATCGACAAAAGTACATACTGTAGGCAAAATGGTATATGTGGTGAAAAATACACTGTAAATGTTTTTATTGTACTAAAATTTTATTTTTAACCATTCATTACCACTGTGCCATATTTACCATGTATTTCCTTCTTGGTTTCAATAAACTTTAAGATGTTTACATTAATTCTACCACTACAAGACTCATCATCACTATCACTTGACTAACCATGTGCGGGTCATAGCCTCAAGAATTTCTCTCTAAGAAAGTCATCCCTAACAATCTCCTTCCTCCGCCAAGCATGTATTCCCTGACTTTTTGCAGAAAGAGGTTATTTATTGGCTTCTAGCTCAACGGAGGAAAAGGTTTCTTATGTTATGTCTCTGTATTTTATGTTCCACTTACCCACTGATTAGAGTCTTCCCCTATCCACCACACGGAGACACATCTGATGGGAGACAGAAAACTCCATATGGCACAAGACTCACTACAGTTACAAACGCTTCTTTTTCTCTGATTTTGCCATTATCTTGTTTTTTAGACATTCTTTGATATATTTTTTATTTAAAAAACATTTATTTCTCATACTGCCCTTCAATACTGTTTACCTAATGGTTGATCTTCTGGAAGATCTTTAAATCGTTGATCCAATTACACATGTTACAATTTGAGATTATATGTCAATCAGGGGGAGCCAAAACTAATGGATAGAGAGGATAATTTTCCCATTATAGATCATTGTTTCATTTTGACTGCTTTGGGTTAAAAAAATCAAGTTTTGAAGAACCTCTAAACATTTAATGTATATTTCCTTATGTAAGACTTTATCACAATTAGTAAAAGCTCAATTTTACATCCCTGTCTGATTAAAAAGGCCACAGAACTGAAATACCATACACCTATCCATTTCGAACAAACTTATCTAAAGTTTTTTGAGACCTCATCATCACTATCATTATTTTTTGTTAAGACTGCACTCATACCCAAAGAAATAATACTTACTCGACATTTTCTCTTAAAAAAACTACTAGTGTTGAACAAATGTTATCTATTGTAATTATAAACAAAAACAAATTCGATAATTGTGAATACAAAAGCTTAAATAAAAGTAATATTAAATATGTAGTTTTATTCTAAAAGTATCCTATAAATAACCTTAAATCTACAAGTATATACAACAGTGGACATAGTCACAGCTCCAGAATGATTTATTTGTTAAATAGTAAAAAAATACAGTCGAATCATTGACGAAATAATAAACAAAGTTGTCTACTTTCTTTTTTGACCACCTCCAGCTAAGATAGTCGCTATCCTGATGAAGATGTTAAGAGTGTCCAAATATATTCCAATAGAGCTACAAAAGAAAAACAGTTAGAACTTGTATGTGCATAATACAACAGCAAAATGAAAAGTTCTATAGTAAAATTCAATAAGCGGTGCAGGAAAATATAAACATTAAATCGTGCCCGAACCGGTATGAACCGCCGATAACATCGCCAGACGAAATAAAGATGGACATTCCGGTTAGTTTTTAAATATTTTTGAAGAACTGTTACTTGCATTTATGCATAAAATATTCATTAATTTTATAAATCGGAGTATTTTTTCACTTACTTTGTATTCAGTGATAACATTAATTTATTTACTATGCAATAAACACGAATATTTGAGAAAAGAAAAAAAATAATAAAGTGTCATAATTATACTGTTACTTATCGGAACGAGTAGACTCATTTGGAACATCTTTAATAATTATCTGTTAAATTTATCGTTGTTTATATGCCCTGCACCGCTTAATGGAATAAGGTATAGGTAAATTTAATAAAATCTTTTAGCTAAAAAATGAGTTTTTGTACAAAAGATTCAGTAGTAGTGGTAATAAAATCACATTTCCACTTTTCTACGACATAAAGTGACCCATTTCAAAGATGAACAACTATATGAAGGTTGTTTTGTCAAATCTTTTAATTTAACCTCTGTTATTTATTTAATTGCAGTGCTCTTTGTCAATACTATAATTTTTCTCTCAATAAGTTAATATTAAAATCAATAATACTCACGCATTGATAGGATCATAAGGCCTGATTCCAAGTGCTTCGGGATTGGCAGGATATCTCTCAGCTTGTGCAATTATCCTCTGAGTGTCATAAAGCAAGAAGCCAGAAAACAGTATCAAACCACCATACAAACTTATTGAGTATAAGCCAGCACCCAGTGCTGTTGTGGGTGGAAGAAATACTGAACCAATTGATGACACAAACACAACACCTAAACCCATAGCTAGAGGACCACCCATATACAGGAATTTTTCACTGGGAGCACAAACCTAAAAAGTAAATAGACATTTACATATTTTACATTGTGATCTACACAACTACTTTAAATAAATACTTACTGCAATTGTACTGAGCCCACCAACCACTCCAGCTGTATACCAAGCAGCTCTGATCAAAAGAGGTCCTCCTAGGAAGCACAAAGGAGCTATCATAGCTCCCATAGTTCCAGCATGAAGCATCCAAGCCAGTTGTTTGCTTCCAAAGCCTTCTGAATACGGAATACTTTGGGCAAGAATACCAGTCCCCATAATAGCAGCTAAACTGATGGCAAATCCCTGAAAAATTGAAAAGGTATATGTGTCAAAATAAATTCAATCACCTTACAATAATAATTATATCAATTTTCCTTTTGACAATCTAGAATTAGATGAAGTAATTTCTTTACCAAAAAAACTGCAGCTGAGCCTAATAATATTCCTTATGATTTTTTTTTCAAGTTGACATCACAAACTACTTGAGTTATATAAAAAGATCTGGACGCAAAAGTAATTCACACTGTTATGTGAGCAAGCAATTAAAAAAAATGACATCTCCAAATCTTCTAAAATCATATACAGTAGTCTGTATTTATAATGATTCCCTATATAATGATGAAAATAGTAAGTGTTGGTTGGTTCGTCATAAGGACAACTGTGGCTGAGATATGAAAGGACAGAAAATAGTGGCTTGAAGCAGAGATGGAGGGTGGTAGCAGGAAGAAGTTGTGGAAACCTCAGCAGCAGCTGATGAAGCTCAGTACCAAATTTTGTCTCTCTCTGTATAAAGATCTCTCCTTATAACAATGAAAATTCCCAGTCCCTTGCATATCGTTATAGAGAGAGAGAGGACTGTAGATCAATAATCTCTCTCATATGCTTACTATGAAAACTACTAGAAAAAATGATCAACTGTTGCCTGGCATGATGTATCAAAAGATATAATATTTTTGATCCATTCTAGACAGGCTTCAGATCAAATCCGTGTGCAATAGAAATTTTCTGAATTCTTCAGGCTGAAATCGCTAATGCACTTTCCAATAGAAGGAAAATAATAGATTTCTTTCGATATTCAATGCATATTTAACACTGCATAAAGTAGCAGCTGTAGCTCAGTTGTAGAACAGTTCAGGTTCAAATGTCAGCAAGGCATTTCTGTTTTCTGCAATCTGTTGTATTTAATTATTGTAAACTGTGATTGTGTCAATGATTCTCAAGTAGTGGAGATATATTATTTGAAAATAAAAAAAAAACAGTCTTACCATGAATCCATTTGCCATAACCAGGCGCATAATAGCTGGAGAGCGGACTGCCGCTAGAGCACTTGCAGCCGTAATAGCAATTGAGCTTCCAAAGTACATGTAGGTTGTTTTTATTCTGTCTTTCACATACTGGGGCCACAAACTAGAAAATAAAATAATTTTAAGCATGAAAAAGAAAAATAACAAATGTATCAAATTATTTTATGTTTGATATCTCTATAGTGCTATGACACTTTCATTTCATTAAAATATCAAAGCAAATAACACAAAACGAACTATACATGAGAAGTATGTTAATTACTTACTGTTGTTTCTCAAGTGCACTAGCTTCACTGCTTA